CAACAACTCCAGGAAATTTATTTTAATTTGCTCATTGGATAGTCCTAGTTCATTGTCCATCCCTAATTATCTTTCATGTGGTCATAGTATGCAGGTTTCTTGACCTGCTGCAATCTGTTTGCATTCTAGAACTAAAGGGAACAGTCCAAGAATTAGGGCCAGATCATTCAGGAAAGATGTTAGGAAGCACTTCTACACACAAAATATGGTAAATGTTTAAAACTCTACTCCACAAATGGCAGTGGATGCTGGATCAACTGTTAATTTTAAATTGTAATTAAGTTTTTATTAACGAAAGGGAAATGGGCCAAAGACAAGGTATATAGAGTTAGGCCACAGATCAGCCTTTATCTCATTGATTGGCAGAACAGGCTCAAGGGGCTGAATGGCCCACTCCTGTTTCTATGTTCTGTTGCAAGTACCCTCACAGTTCTGTTTGGATGGGAGTTCCAAGATTTTGACCTAGCATCATGCAGGAATGATGGTACACTCCAAAGTCAGGATGGTGTGTGGCTTGACAGGGAAGCTTGCAGGTGGTGATGCTTCATATAGCTGCTGGTCTTGCCATTCTAGACAGTAGAGGTTGCAGGCTTGGATGATACTGTTGAAGGAGCCTTGGGAGTTGCTGCAGTCCATCACTAACATGACTGCATGCTTCCTTCCAGTCCTTTCACTGACTTCTTACTCCGATCCCAATTTTCTATCCATGTTCCCATTGTCTCTTTAACTCAAGCGGTTCCCTTCTGCTGAATACCCATCTTACTTGCCACTTTCTCAGACGTGACTCTTGAGATTTGAACCCTTCAGCAGTGAACAATTTAACTCAGTAGATCACAAGTTTAATTAGAAACCCCCCGGTCTTGCTTTTTCAGGTCACGCAGTTTCATCATTTTTGCAGCAACTGACAGGATGCACTTTCTACAATGCTTCTAAAATAGAAGGCCATCTCAAGACGCTTCAGAGGTTTAACCATTAAAAAAATGAAAGCAGCAGAGAAAATTGTAGAAGGGAGAGACCTGAAGTTTGTTCAGAGGTGGCTTCTCAAAGGGTCTTCAAATGAAAATCCACGCTTAAGGACAAACCGGCAATGGGCATGGGGTGTCAGGAGGACGGAAGCAGCTTTTTGGAATATCCACGTATCCTGTTCACTCTCCAAACCTTTTTCGCTTTCCTCTTATTCAAGAAATTCTACAAATCACTTTTGTGCGATGTTGTTAATTCTGCCTCAACAATGGTTTGTTGCAGAAAATTAGATTAAAACTTAAACTACTCTTTAGTTTTGAAAGCAAGATGACAATTCGTCATACAGTCTGCAAGTCAAACAAACCAAGTCGTTTACATTTTGTTTGTTCAACAGAGGGAAAATTTGCTGACTTCACATAGAATCACCTGAGCCTTTTCCTCAGCATCTCCAGTTACTACTGCAAGTGAGAGGTGGAACTCCTTCAACTGTCTATCCAACTGACAGAGCTCCAAACTGATTGAATTATGGAATTAGTAAAACATTCAGTCAAAAGTTTGTGGAGCTAGGGAATAAATTACAGGGCCCTAAGTATATACTCACTGGAGTTTAGAAAAATGAGAGGTGATCTCACTGAAACATCCAAGATTCTTAAGGAATTTGACATGGTAAATGCCTAGAGAACATTTCCCTTCATGGGAGAGTCTGGGACCTGGGACCAGAGGCCATAGTCTCAGAATTAACGGGAGCCAATTTAAGACTGAGATAAGGAGGAATTTCTTTTCTCAGAGGGTTGAAAGACTTTGGAACTCCTTGCCACAGAGAGCTGTGGGGGCAAAGTCCTTGTGTATACTTAAGGCTGAGAGAAATCGATTCTTGGTCAGTTGGGGAAATCAAGGTTACAGAAAAAACACAGGAAAGTGGATATGAGGAATGTCGGATCAGCTACGATCCTATTGAATGATGGACCAGGCTTAAAAGGCCAAACAGCCTACTCCTGTTCTAATTTCTTATGGTCTTCACATCTCTTGTCACGGAACTGAGAGAGAACATTATTAAGCACAAACTGAGTAAACATCTTGAAAATCTCCAGGTGAACAGAGTCAACATGCATTTTTAAAGAGTCAGCCATGCCTGAAGAATTTAATTTAATTTTATTTAATGTGGTGGACAGGGGACTGTCCATAGATGTAATTTTGCATGGACTTCTGGCAGCCAATTGACAATAGTAGTCATGACAGACTGTCAGGTGATGTTGAATTTCATGAAGTGAAAGGAAATTACGGACCTGCTTAGGAAATTGACTGAGGGACAGAAAACAGAAACAGGAATAAAGGACAGGTATTCTAATTGGGCCAGCGATCCCCTGCCAGGATCTGTTTTGGGAACTCAACAGGCAGTCCAAGTAAACCAGGCAGGTACTGCAGGACTCCCCTGAATAGATGGATGTGACTAGTACGGTAATACAAGGCTCAGTGCTTGGACTCCAGCTGTTCACATCACCCGTATATATCAATGATTTCAATATGGCAGCAAAAGTTTGCGGATAATACCAGAAGTAGTAATATGTGTTGTAGGAAGACACAAAATGTTTTCGGAGGATTTGGACAGGCTTAGTGAGTGGGCAAAAACACGACAGATGGAATACAATGTGGAAAAATGCGAGGTTATCCATTTTGGTAGGAAAAACAAGCTGTCTGATGAGGAAAGTTTGGACAAGCTAGGCTTGAATCCAATAGCGTTTAGAATTAAGACGTGACCTATCTGAAACATACAAGTTCCTGAGGAACCTGGACAGGGTGGATGTGAAAAGGATGCTTTGTCATGTGAAGCATCTAGAACTAGGAGTCACTGTTTCAAAATAAGGGATCCATTTAAGAAAAAAAATTCTCCTTAATTCTTTCGCACATAGGGTTATCAGTTTTTGGAACTCTTTTCCTCAAAAGGCAGTAGAAACAGTCTTTGAATATTTTTAAGACAGGGTTAGCTTCCTGATAAGCAAGTGGGTGAAATGTTGTCAAGGGTGGGAAGCAATGTGGATTAATCAGATCAGCCATGATTTTATTGAATGGCAGGCCCAAGGAGACAAATGGCTTACTCCTGCACCTGATACGTATGTTCTTATTTAGATTCTCCATCTGTAAACATTTTCACTCTTTAGCTTAATCAGCAAGAAATTCAACAGAAAATTGAAACCAAATAACACAAATATTTTAACTTCCAATACTCCCACATCTGAAATGTTTCATAATACTTGATGTATTCTCCTTCTCTATAAAAATAGAACCTTACATTATTATGGCTAGAACATTAAGCTCTAAAGAAGTGCAAATAGTTTGTATTTTTCACAGAATGTTTTATGTTGCTTATTTCAACTCGAAATTATTAATTCCCATGCTGGAACATATCTGGGCAATTACTACACCGTGAAATGTAGATGAAGGGCAAAGACTCAGTGCAGGTCATAGAAGATAAGACAAGTCAGAAAGAATGGTCTGGCGATAGTTTTTGTGGTACAGACTTGATGGGCTGAAGGGCCTCTTCTGTGCTGTACGATTCCATAAAAAGGATCAAGAGAGCTACAAATTTCAAAGTAAAAGAATACGCATTTATAGAAACACAACCTCCCAACATGCTTTCCAGCCAAATAGGTAATTTGAAATCTAGTCACTGTTACAGTGGAGGAAATGCAGCGCACAGTTTAAACACCACAAGTTCCTACAGACATGTTGAGAACAACCAAGTAATCTGTTATGAGGTTGTTTGAGGGAAAATCAGCTTCTGAGATGCTAACAAGAAAGCCCCTTCTCCACTTCTCTTGGGAACTTGGGAGCACTACTTCAGTAGTGCACTGTCCAGATTAGAGGGTGAAACTCGAATTCAACACATTCATGCAACATGGCAAACTGAGCTGCTCTAACATTCAACAAAATCATCGTTGAATTTCCATCCCAATTTTTCAACCTTAACCCAAAGTACTTCAATCCCAAATTCCAAAAATTATTTAAGTCTCAGCCTTGAATATACTCAACATCTGAACATCCACAGCCCTCCAGGATACAGAACAACCTGCCGTTTGAAGAAATTTGCCTCATGTCAGTGCCGGTTGGCCATCCTCTGAAACGGAGACTATGGCTTTTTGTTCTTGACAGTCCAGTCAGGAAACATAGCTCTCAGCATCTAGCAAAGAATATAGGCCTAGTCTACTCAACACTGCCTCTTAGGAGAGACCTCTCACCCCAGAAATCAAACGAGGGCATGTTTCTTGCAACCTTGCTCAGGTAAAAATATCTTTTCTAGGTTTAGAAGATCAAACCTATATGTTGTACCCAAGTGTGATCTAGGCAAAATCCTGTATAAGACTTCCTTGGTCCCACCCTTGCAATAAAGGTCAATATATAATTTGCCTGTCTAAGTGGTTGCTGAACTTGCATGCTAATTTCACTGATTCATGTGCAAGGATCCCAAAATCCGTCAGAGTACAAAGACTGCTCATCTCTCAATTTTAAAATCCCACTCCAGCCAATCCCAGTGAATGGGGACCAGAAGTCAGATTCTAAATTCTAGGCTGACATCTATCAAATATTTTTATCCATGGGGGGTGAGTGTATGACAGCTTCTGCATCCCAAAACCATCCCCTGGCTCCTGGCCTGGATACAGGAACCCAAGAAGTCTCTCGCCATATCAGTTGTACCTTAATGGTTAGCTATTGATTGTGCAAATCTATCCTTGCTTAATTTCATATTAGTCCCAAAGTGTAAATCCAAGAATACAAAAACTACCAACACCCAAGATCAGTGTCAGAGAACTGTGCCCAAAGGAAAACAGAACTCGATATCAGGCAAAACAGAATCATGATATTTGCAGGTTTCTCACACTGAAGCACAAGCATAGAACTGGCCAAAAAAATTGTCAAATTTACAACAAGCCAAAACCATCCTTATTCTAATCATTGCTGAGGGACTTAAAAATAATGAAATTATGACAAAATGCTACTATCCGTAACAAATTACTTGATTAAAGACTACTTGTACTCACCACCGAGGCATTTCTAATGGTCCTGCTCTATTATACTCCATGGTATTGAATTTAACTGAAGGTATGAGTTATATTATAATGTCTGCTGCTTTTCAATAGTGTCGCAAGACAGCCGATCATGAGTTATTTTGCTTAAGCCTGCTGATGTTTATGATCATCCAATAAATTCTCGAGTCCTGTTTTGACTGGTTCAGGAAGCACACTGTCCTGACCCTGACGTTCCAAATACTTATACACACTGACTGTTACTGTTCTCAGATATACTTTGCAATACACACAGGGAAGGTCACCAAAGAATGTCGACTGTGAGAGCTGAGGATTCAAAGAGCACAGCAATCAATGGCTATCTCCTTCAGCACTGCACCCACGTAATACTAAACAGCCCACGCCAAGGCTCGTGTCCTCAATTGGCAGGCACTGAGGAAGTCATTGATATCATGGACGGCAAACAGTAAGACAATAGAGGCAGCAGAGCACCAGCACAAATAACATCAAACTGCAGTCTAATGCGCTTACATGCATGCACAAAATGAATCATCTCCACTATCTGAGGCAAGATGATACATCACAGAGACAACAAAAATAGCCATACAACACCACAATCAGGATCCCTCAACATAGGAAGATAGCACAATGATACAAAACAGAAGACTATTCAGCCCATCATTTCTGTGCCAGCTCTTTGAAAGTGCTCTCCAATTAGCTCCATTCTTCTGCTCCTTCCTCATAGCTTTGTAAATATCTTGCTGTCAAATTCCCTTTTAAATTGCAACTGAATCAGTTCCCTCCACTCTTTCAAGATGTGTTTTCTAAAGCACAGCAGCTTGCTGAACAATAAGTAAAGTTTCCTTATGTTGCCTCTTGTTCCTTTGTCAATCGCCTCAAACCTATGAATTTTGTTTACTAGTCCTTACACCACTGAAACAACTGCTCCTTAATTAGATGATCAAAACCGCTCACAAGTTTTAACACAAGCACATTTACTGCTATTAAGTGAAGAGCCAAGGGTAAGGAGGGGGTGGGAGGGAATAGAAAAATAGGGTTGACATCATAATCAAATCAGCCACAATCTTGTTAAATGACAAAGCAGACTCAAAGGGCCAAATAGTCTACTTCTGCCTCCAAGTATTATGTTCCTTTGAGCAAAAGAAAACCCCAAAGAAGTGCAGATGGTGTAAATCAGAAACAAAAACATAAATTGCTGAAAAAAAACTCAGCAGGTCTGGCAGCATCCGTGGAGAGAAATCAGATGGACATTTAAAGACAAAGCCTGGCCAGTAACAGCAGAGGAAGGCAAATCCATTACAGCATTTAAAACGTAAATGAATAAATATTTAAACTGAAAACATTAATGAATGCAGAAAGGTCAGGGAAATGGAACTAAATGGATATGGATAGCACAGCATAAAAGGAGACCATTCAACCTTCGCTAATCTAACTCTTCCAAAAAGCCACCCAATTAGTCTCACTTGAGTTATTCCGACTTCCTTACAGGATTGGGCAGCTGACTAAAATGCACTAAATTTATTGCAATAATAAACTCCAGAATTGCTTATGGACCACATATCCTTCCAACCCATTTATGTCAAGACCTGGATTTGACAAAACCTGTCTTTGCTTGGACTCCTTCATTCAAGCGATTGTAAATTTGAACTTGCATCAAATCTCCCATACTGTGGTCCTTGTGGACAACATGGGTGGCACTGAAGCCTCAATTTTCTGCTACTTCTGTTCATTAACCTGCTACTCAGAGTTCCTTGATAGATATCACCAACGGTACAGATGATCAATGCAAAATATGGTAGCCAACTGCTAAATTGCACAATATTGACCAGAAGTACCAATTTTAAGTATTCATTGATGAGAGATGAGCACTAACTTCAAGAATCTCTACATCTATTCAGCCAACATACTCAGCGTCAGTGCATACTCCTATGGTGAGTGAAATAGTTTTAGGAACACTACAAACCATTTGAACTCCAACTCCCACCAGTGACTGGGACAATGCTTTTAACAAAGATTTTTGTTTTAAGTCTTCAGTTAAATTGATGTTCACTAGTTTGGGTAGTATATTTTGTCATTTTCGGATACTTGCAATAAGTGTTTTGATAGAAAAAAACTTTAATATTCAGAGAACAGGCACAATCATGATAGGCTGAAGGTTTCTTTCTATGCTGCAACAATTCTGCAATTCTATTTTATGGCAACACAGACACAGATCTAGGAAGACCTAGCAGCAAGAATCAAATATATAGTTACTGATATTGCCTGCTCACTTTGTGGTGTTACTGGGATGCTCTGCTTTTCACAGACAGTGGTCAGTCACAGCACCTGTAGTAGCCTTGAAGGGATAGTGCATTGCAGCATCTAAGCCTTTTGGTTCTGAGCTGCTTCCATCAAAATAATCTATCCTCTCCATTTTTTCAGTTTCCATTTTACCATGTTTTTATGCCATTTAATGCAACATTTTGAGCAAAAATAACTTATTGAATTATCAGGAAGGGACTGTATACCAGCCCAACTATCTCTGTCTGTTTATTTTAATTAATCCCTTTAATCAGTTCTAGGTCAATGGCCCAACTGGGAGAGTGAGAGATTCAACCTGTCTCATTTCCGTTTTGTCTAGGCCAAGTAACCAAATACCGTGGAAGTCTTGTTATCTCTGAGGAACCACAATCAGCAGTTACCAGGTCAAAGGCATATGAAGATCATTTCCTTTACAAGGGTAATACCTGACAACAGCTAGACAACATTCAGTCCATCAAACTGGGCATATTGGCAATTCAGAACCATTGGGAAAACATTCTGCTGAGAATCCTTCTAACCATATGCAGTCACCTTGCAGGGTTATGGGAGAAAGACAGAGGAGTGAGTCCAGCTGAGTTCCTCTCAGTGAACTGGCACAAACATAACCAGTCGCAATGGCTTCCTGCTGTGCTGTATTCCATCACACACCTGACTAGTCCCTTGGAGAAGATGGCACAGTCTTTGGGAAGTCAGGAGGCAAGCCACAGTATTGATAGATATTTTCCAATCAACCTGTTCCGAAATGTTATTACACATTTCTGCACCAGATTGAACTTGAACACGTGCCTCTTGGTTCAGAGGTAGGAACACAACCACTGTTCTACAAGAGCCACCACAGTATTTATAATGACTT